AAAGCAAAACAACTACATGTTCAAATTGCCTTGCAAAAGCTTAGGTAGGTATTGATGAGCTGTTACACATATGTTCTGAATGCTTTATCAGGTCAGACAGGGAAGGTTAAGATACCTATAAAAAGATACCTTCTAAGTATATGGAAATTTTAAGAAGCAAACCATTTATACACTTCTGGGACCTTTTAGCAAAGTCAAGAAGTGATGGTCTTTATGTCAGGGCACACAAGCATGGGTGAATGACATGTGCCCAGACCTCTCTCCCCCACACTCAGATTGCCTTGCCAAGGGAATCAGTCGATGGGCTCTACCAAACACTCAAGTGTAAACCAAGAGATAACAGCATGGACCACTGGACTGCAAAAGCAAGGAAAAAGCAGCATGACAGTACTGCTGTACCTCAGAGGGTGGTTTATGGTGTCATTTATGGATATAATGGACATAAAATAACATAAAAACTTGAACATGGTATAATCGTGTAAACACTCCTAACTATTGTGTTCCCCCTCCACTGATTTGTATATCAAAAAGAGTGAGGAATGACTTCAACTAGGTGAATTATTCTGTTTAACCTAAATCAATTAGCTGGGGCATCTATTTTGCAAGTTAACAGGAAGGAGAGAATTAAGATTTTTAATTCCTTTTTATATGGTTATAACCACCTTGAATGCAAGATTTCTGACACTTACCTTTGAAATAATCATCAGATTAGATTATATTGTAATAGGTCATATTCAGTATAGTGTCGGTAATTTTAAAATTGAAGAGATGAGCTACTAACCCACGAAAAAACTTAAGCTGTATTTATAAAAAAATTATGAGATAGGAAGCAAAAATATACAGCTTTGCAGCTCTGTTCTATTTGCTTAAGGTTTAGCACTATTAATATAAATAGGATAGAAAACAAGCATGGCAAGAATTACAGTAATCTATTTTGTATATCACCTTCCCAGAGAGTGAATTCACAGCTTGATGGATGATTAAGATTAGGGGAAAATTATTCCTCTGATTACCAGCAGGAGGGAGATAAAATGAATGCAATGTATAGCTGAATTTACCATTATAATCACAAGAATTTTTACAGATATATTGCATCAGGGAATACTCCTAGTTTTACACACAAGAGTTTCCTGAATCTTATGGGTCATTTACTCCTGGCAAAGTCTGTTCTTCATCTACATATATTTCATTTTTCCCAAACAGAACAGCACTAAGCTATGTAAATGCTGGACCAACTTTTGCCAGATTTATTTACTGTATATAGTAAAGTTTTAGTATTACATCTTATGATCTGAAAGGTGAGCTAGAGGAGCATCTTAATCATCCTAACAGTTACAAAAACTTTTCCAAGACTATGACATAATAGTTTTAGAGGAATTCATAGTAAGATTTACTTTTGAAGGTTCTATTTTTAACTTTGTTTTGTGAAGATAAATAGAGTAAGGTGTCCGGGTGGAGAGGAACTATCTATACAAAGGGTAAATGTGAACAGGAGAGTATTTTAAGCACATTGCAATTATCCTTTTAACTGCATTTTCCCCATGCCTTTCTATACACCATTCTTGACAGTCTTGAAAAATTTTAGATCAGTTCTCAAGGCCTTACTTCCATTATAGTTCAGAGATTTCCACTAGCATCACTTTTCTGTTGAAGATCTTATTTCCTTTTGATTCTTTTCTTGCAACTTTTTGCTTTATTCTGCAGTGAAATCTTATCTGATTTCATTATCTATCATTGCAAAAGCACCTGTGCTGCAAAAAATGCATCTCTTCATTGTACGAACACAGAAATGATCGACTTGGAGTAAAGGAACACAAAACAAAGTTCTCGTAAGTATCAAGCAGCAGCATGGAAAAACATGATAAATATTATGTTCAAAATTATTCTGTGCTATTTAGACAATTCACCTCTAAGCAGAAAATTCTCTTCCAACACTAATGCCAGGCACTAGGAATCAGTTTTGGCTCTAACCATTTCTCAGAGGAAGTGAATCTGCAACCGCTACAACAAGCCTGCAGTAGCAATGCTGGTCCTGAATCCTGGTTCTATGACCAGTGAAGCCATGGAGCTCTAACTCTGCCTGGTAGCACTGGGGCTTTCCTTCTGAAACTGTTCTTCACGTTTAGCACCACTTCATGGCAACAGAGAAGCCCTGGGCTGCTGAGCTCCACATCTGAGTTGAGCGTGACACTCAGCCTAAGTTCATGTGGCTTGTGATTTCTGCCGCTGCCGTCAGCTGATGCCAGAGTACCACAGCTGAGCACAGCGTGTATGCGGCTCATCTCTTTAAAGTCTAGACTTTGACTCACAGAACGACTACTGGTTGGCATTGAGCAACTCGTGGATCACATATGCCACTACTCAGAGGTAACAGACAACATATTTGCAGTTCCAACTTAGTTCTCTCAGGTTAGTTACCAGTAATATTCAGAAAAAAGCTCAGATATCCCCTCAAAATCAGAAATATTTGTTGTTAAATATTGGTGTTGTTATCCCAGTGCTCTGAAAACAATGTACATTTTAATCCAGTATGCAGACAACGCATTTGGCATTGTTTTTATTTAGCACCCTGGCCATAACAGCAGTTTCCAGAATGCACGCCCTAACAATGAACATTTTTTGAGCACAGTATGTTCAATAATTAAGTAGTTAGGTAAGCAACTTAAAACTGTTCATCTTTTTTTACAGTATTTCCTTTTCTCTGAGTATATTTACATAATACAAAAATAGATGCTTAATTTCAATAAATTGCAAACTCTTCTACCGTATTTTGTAACAGAACTGGGCCATTTAAATATTCTTAAATATTTTTTTCTATTTTAAGGATATGATTTCAGTCACTCCAAAGGGCTCTACAGATTAAAAACATGCACAAAAGAGGTGAGTTTTTGAACAGCATTCCTCACATCTTAGAAGTGATAATGTTTCAAATTGCTTATCTTCCCCTGCCTGTTTGTGGAAAAAGGTGTGCAGCCAAGGTCCCAGGCATCCTGATTCATCACAGACCAGCCCCTTGTGTCTGAAATGCTGCTTATGGCAAACGGCACAGGCTTCACAACACCGCTACGAGGACCTGAAACACACCTTCAGATATTTTTATACTGAAATCACATTCTCATATTGTTGGTTGAAGTACTTACTGCTTTGCAGAGAATTAGTCTGCATTCAAGCTTGTAAAAATATTAGAAGCTTAAATGTATTTATGCACTGGTCTGTCCAGATTTGACTGCCCTTAAACCAAGCAAAAGAAGCCTGCAGCTGCATAGTCAGTTCATCAAATAGCTCTTTGGAAAACAATAACTTTATTTTCATGATTTTGATGAATTCAATATTAGAAAGCTCTTAAAAAAATCTTTTACTTCACATGGAAAGACCTCAATGGTAGAAAAATTCGAAAGTATTGTTATGTTGAATTATTCCCAAACAAGGTTTACAATTTCCAAATGTCTAAACCTGGACAACTGGATCCTCACTTACTCTTATAAATTAATGGACTGGATTTCAGAGATTTTGAGAACTCCCAATTATCTCTCTACCACCAAAGAAGAACCTTGTGTGCACTCCTCTGTAAACTAAGCCCCTTGATTTGGTGATCAAATATACATTGCCCACATAAAGATACCCCCACTTTTGAAATTTATATACTGAAGCCCCTGGCATTACTAGGTGCCAGCCAAAATAACGGTTATTAACCAAACTGTGCATTCGCTTGATTAGCAATGGAAGTGTGAGCCGCAGCCTGTATCCCATTGCTCACTGAAGTGAGACTGATGACACGCACTCCATTATCAGTATTTTGGAATACAAACACTTTGCCTATTCAGTTTTGACGTAAGTAAGACTGCTACAGTATGCTGCCTTAAAATGAACAGAAATTAATTTATCTCTAGCTATTGACTTTTAAGTTTTAAATATAATTTTCTGTCTCATCTTTCCTCTTATACCTAATAAAAACTGCCCTCATCTCAGACCCTAAGAAAAGGATTATTACAGGTGCTAAGCATTTTGAAGGTCACCTCTAACTCCAGTGTCTATTTCTCTAGGCCTGCTGTTACTGAAGTGCAAAATGTTTTCCTTTTGCTATGCAATATATGCTTACAATAACACAATGAACAGGAAATAGTCTTGCTAATACAGCACGACCAGCAAGATGCTGACCAGTTTCAAATCACTGCATATTTGGGTATCTGCAAAGTGAACCTTACCTCTCAAAGCTCATAGTATTAATAAAAGATGCTCACGGGCTTCTGAAGGCTTCCAGCTATAGAAAAATCTAAGAGGTCAAAGTAGGGCTAACTTTATAATTATGAACAAAGATGATTTATACAGGGTTTATACTATTCACACGACAGAAAGGACACCCTGGAGCCACTGCCACCATTTTGCAAGCAAGCTCTGACACCTGTACCATTGCGTTCTTGGTAGCACAATCAGCAGCATGTAGTGAAACTAGTATCAGTCAAACAGGACTCAATCATGAGGCTGCCTGCAAAGCTTCAAGTCTTAAGCTGTTACTTCTGTTTAACGTGATAATCTACAGCTCTCTACAAAAGCATCTAAAAAGGCAGAATGCATATTTTACTACTGCTCTTATTTTTTGCCATTTCTGTAATGAACAGAGCTGCTAAAAATCAGTTGGCTGGCAGTACTAATAGTTCAGACAAAACCAGGTAGTTTTTTTCATTCTCTCTTATGCCCCAGGAAATAATGTATATATGGTTCCTTGCCGATCGATCCATTACAACACTTAAGTCACACATCTATGCCTCTGGAGATAGGTGTTTGTGTGTGTGGGAGGCAATGCATAGGGATGAGGTGAGGTCTGGCAACCAGCACCATGGCCTGTTGAAACCTCAAACCACACTTCATGTACACATTTTAGTGCTCACTTCAGCCACAAACCCAGTGTCCATTCCATTTATGTCCCCAAACTCTTGCTTGCCCAATTCATGTACTAAACCCAGGACTCACTGTTCAGGACAGTGGTCCCACCTCCTCACCTGACCACGTTGGGGTGTTCGAACGTCTCCAGGTGCCTCAAAACTGCCACCTCTCGGATGGTAGACAGTGGCATTCCCTCCTCACTGGTCTGCACCCGTACCCGCTTCAGCGCGACAAAGCGACCTCCGTTCTTCAAGTCTCGGGCTTTGAACACCTTTCCGTAAGCTCCTTCCCCAATCTCTGCCACATATTCATACTGTTGGTCAGCCAGGTTTGTGCTGTCCTTATCCATGCTGGCACTAGTCCTCTTCCTCCCGAGTTCCAAGTGCCTTGAGGTGGCTCTCAGTCTAGCTTACTTTCTGAAAACTAGTACTTTGCTTGCCTTGCAGACAGGCCACGCACTTGGATCCTCTGCCAGAGGGGCAGTAAGAAGCTCTTGCCCTCCTGTTCTTGTTCCTTTTCTGTACAGGCTCCAACGTGCCTCCTCTTTCAGCCACCAGGAATTATCATACAGTCTTCGGGAGCATTGCCTGTGTAAAGCCAATTAGATCTGGAGGACAAACCAAGCAAGAAAAGTGAGTTTAGTTTACTTCATTACTTTACATGCAAAGCAAAAACATGGTGGAAAGGAGGATGTGAGCCACGAGGGTGACATATGTATCAACGTCTCTCCGTGGCTGATACAACAGTACAAAGTTATCACAGTCTATGCAGAAGGCTATGCACACAGCTACAGAGCAGCGCTGTGCTGAGGGGTTTTACTGAGCAATGGGCTAAATAGGACCACCCTGTGAGACATGGGTGATTGGGATGGCACAGTTAACTATGCATGTGTGAGAGAAGTTATACCCAAGAACTTTTCTACACTGCACATGGTGGACTCTTGGAAAGATATCCCAGGCTATATTACTGTCTCTTGCTTGCAAATAATAGCATTTAGAGGTTTCTGCCTTGGTCTGCTCTCTCCTGTGCTAAGCCCTTCATGAACACATGAACACGCCGCAAGAAACAAGGTTCTGTCTCAAAGTGCCTGTGGGAAGGAGAAATACACACATATTTAAATGACAATAATACATTATGAAGCACTGTTAGCTGAGGTAGATTCAGGAATGTGCACTTTAGCAAACGTATCAACAAGCAAGGGTTTTGGCTGTGGATACTGCTACCACTGTATGGCTGGCAGTTCCTTGCAAAGCAGCATGATGAAAGATGTCCTCAGGAACCACATGCTCTGCTGTGAGTGCATGAGGCTGGAGAGCAGAAGCACTTCCTTCTACATCCAGTTTCATCCACTTTCTGCAGGACTGGGCAAATCCTCTCCCTTCACAAAACTTCACATCAATTCTCTCCCTGCCCCTTTTTAATACAGCAATACTGTGACCAGGACTGCAGCTCTCTCCCACACTGCATTTTTACCGTGCTAGGATTAAAGAGCTCCAGACAGCTCAGTCGGGGATCCCCTAAGTGGAATCCACGCACAAAGCCAGGGGTATTCCGCACACTTAGGCTGATCTTACACCCTAGCTGCAGATGAAAAGAGCAGTCTCAAGGAAACCTGCGCCCGCTGCTCATCCCTCCTCCCCGGCTGCAGCCAGAGGCGGCTCCCTGCCTCGCCGGCGTCGGTTCCCACCACCACAGCTGCCGCCGCACCGCCCCAGCCAGCGGGCAGCCCCGCGCCCCCCTCCTGCAGCATCACCGGGAGACACCGACCGCGGGCCGCCGCGGGGGGATCCCTGCCCGGCCCCGAGCCCTCGGTGCGGGGGTTCCCGCCCGGCCCCGAGCCCTCGGTGCGGGGATCCCCGGCCGGCCCCGAGCCCTCGGCGGGGGATCCCCGCCCGGCCTGAGCCCCTCGGTGCGGGGGATCCCCGCCCGCCCCCGCCCCGGGGTTCCCCGCCCGCCCCGGTCCCCCGCGCGGCCCCCTGCGCCCCCGGCCCGCGCCGCTCGCAGGGCGCCCCCGGCGGCGGGCAGCGGCGCCGCGTGTGCGTGGCGGCGGAGCCGGCGGGCCTCTGCCCCGGCGCGGCCGCGTGGAAACTTACCCGTGCTCGCCCTCCCGGGCACGGCGGGGCACCGGGCTGCCCCCGGCCCCCGCTGCCCCCACCGCGCCGCCGAGCTCGCCTCCGCGGGCGCCCCGTAGGCGGCGGGGGTGGCGGCGGGGGACACGCGGGGAGCCGCGTCCCCGCGTTTCCTCTCAGCGGACGGGGCGGGGGCGGCCCGGCTCGGCTGCGCGGCGGGACAACGAGGGGACTCTCTGGCGGCTCCGCCGGAGGGCCCCTCCCCCGCGGTCCCCTCCGCGCCCCCGCGCCGACCCCCAGGGGGCTGCGGCGGCACCGCGGGTTGCGCTGCCCCGGCCTGGCCACCCAAGGGACTCGTCCGCGGTGCCGCCCGCGGGGGCTGAGCGGCGTGGGCTCCCGGGCCGGGCAGGGAGGGGGCGGCGTGTGGGCCACGCCGCGGAGCCGGGTGCGCGGAGCACATGGGCGCCCCGCGTTACCTGGTGTGCGCCACGGTCGCCTGCACCGCCACCAGTTCCCCAAATAATCCTCAGCCCCGGGGGGTGAGTGGGGGAGGGAGGGGGTGAGTCCTCCCTAACACAAACCTCCCACTGAGCGAGGCGGGGTGGAGAGCCGGCCTGGGGTCTGCCCCTTCACATGGCGATGTCTCCGGCAGGTCCCGGCAGCGGCCGCCCGGGCCACACAGGTAGCTGCTCCGCGGCTCGGCCGCCCTCGGCTCGCATCCTCCTGCCGCCGCCGCCGCCGGGCTGCACCTTGGCGCAGAAGGAGCTCGCACTCGTCCCCCAGCCCGCGCCTCCCGCCCCCACCCTGCCCGGGGAAAAGGAAAACGCGAAATAAAAATCGCGGCCGGCGGCCCCCGGGGAGCTGCAGCGCCACGACGGCAGCCCCGCCGGCCGCAGCCTGCGGTGCGGGGCTCGGGCACCACCGGCCCTGGGCGCCGCCGCCGCTCCGCCGCTGCCCCGGCGCTGCCGCTCCTCGTTCGCTCCCTCGGCCTCTGTTCTGCCTGGGAGCAGCAGCAGCTTGCTGCCTCTTTTTTTTTTTTTTTTTTCTTTTTCCCCTCTCCTCAACTTTTTTTTTCCCTTGCTTTCCCACGCTGGCTGAATGTGACTTGACCCCGTTTCAAAAAAGTTTGACATAGTGCTTCAACATTTCCGCATTCCTCCCCGACTACAAAGGCTGCAGCCGCCTCCTTCTGCTTTCTGTCTCTGCTCTCTGTCTTCACACTCAATGAAATCCCTCATGTGCCCCTGCCAAAGGCAGCCGCATACCGCAAGGGTCGCCGCGAGCGCCGCGGCCAGGCATGGCCTGGGGCGAGCGCCCCGGGGGGTCCCGGCAGGGCCCGGCCCGGCCCGGCCCCGGCCCCGGCCCCGGCCCCGCCGCGCTCGGCGCTGCTCGGGCGCGGGCTCCGCCGGCTGCGGCAGCACTGAGAGCCCTGACTCATTCCTAGAGCTCAGTGTGCGAGGCGCTGGGAAATAACCCTTTTGGGGTTTCGGGTTTGGTGTTTCCACCCCCTTCCCCCCCGCCATCCTGAGAAATAACTTTTTTTTTTTTCCCCTGTCTCAAAAAAATCGCGGATTCTTCTGTGCTTTTTTTTTTTTTTTTTTTTTTTTTTTTTGGCTACTTTCCGTTCACAGAGAGTGCAGAGCTCCGGCAGGAAGTAAGCGCCCATGAATGCTTTCGGGAAGCATCAAGAAACTTCGTTGCTGGAGAACACCCCCCGCTCCCCCAGCGAAGTCTTTCCCCAGCAGGATTGCAGCTGGAGATGCACGAGGCAGCGGGGCGAGGAGGGCACGTGTGCGGAGGAGCTGGGCGCGCAGGCTGCCCGTTCTCCGATGCAGAGAATGTTTTGTACGGAGCCGATTCTTACAAATACTGAAATTCACCACGAACAAAAAAATAATCACAAAACAGATAACCATCTACTCTGTCTCTATGGGAAAAAACACACAGCCTAGTTCCCAGTTCTCCCAGCTGGTACCCTCCAGCACATGCTCTTCTGGACCTAAAGGATGACTGTGGTCCAGCTCCAGAACCAGTGCTTATTATAGCGGTTTAAGGGAGAGTGTGGACCCAAATCCCCTTATACAGTTGGCAGCATAATTTAACTAAGTGGGCTTGTAACTCAAAAAGGGTATGTCTAGGACTTTGCATTGTATATTGATTTAGAATAACTGAAAAAAAAATATATATAATACTTTAAAAATGAAAATAATTCGTATCAGAAAGAAGCATATAATTTCTGACCCCAGCAATTCCACATGCCCTTCCGATTTCTGAGAGGTTTAGAAGCAGCACCTGGAGGGAGGGGTGCGTAGCAAGAGGAAACTGGCTGAGGGCAGAAGGGAGGCTTCTTATTTTCCCTGGGGAAAACAGGGAGCTGGTACCGCTCAGGTCTTCAAGGAAAAAGCCAGTGGCACGTGAGTGTTTTCAGGAGATCATGCATACTTTGTAAGAACATAATTTATGCTCATATTGTAGTTTTATTTACAGAAATTCCTCATCAACTTCCCAAGTCCATGATGTATCAGAGAAATATTCTGAAGTTAATGGCAAACCCCATAACCTTTAAATGTGAAAGTGTCACAGATCAAATACTTCTTTTTAAAAGATGTAAAAAAATCACGAGATTCATGTATACATACACTACCTCCCTTCATTTGTCTGTTTCATAGCATTCATACATTTCTTAAATGTATTTCCTTTCCTCTCCCTCTCTTCCCCTTTCCCCATCCTCTTTCCCTCTCCCTCTCCCTCATATTTAGGCAGCTGTAACAAGCTTGGTACACAAACCCCTCCTCAGGTTCCAGAGGCATTAATTGTCTCACTTTACATGCAATAGGCTTCCCTTTTGGGAGGGAGAAGTGAAGCCTTGGTTGCTGTCTGCCCCTGAAGATCTGTGGATCTTTAAAACTCCAGTCAGGCTCTGTTAACTGTGGTGTTTCCAAGGAGGGGCTGAGGGGCACCATGTCCTTTTGCCAGATAACTGTGCAGCCTCATGTTTAGGATGAGCATGGAAAGGAGATTTCTGCAGTCCCCTGACATTTACGTCTGTGCTCAAATGTGCTGATTTATTATTCTCCTAATAAACGGTGTTCAAGACAAGATCACACTTTCAACTCAAATTTTCCCAATATTTTGGGAGAATACATGTAATGGTTCTGTCCTTTAAAATCTGTGTGGTGATGTCCGTAGAGATTGTCGTGGAACATAATATAGTCATGCTGTCAAACTGAATGAATTTATAACATAAAAGTGTCACATAGTTACTGTGGCTTTATATGCTCCTCAGATTTTTTTCCAGGGACTTTTTCAAAAAATGATGTGACTACTTTTTTCTTTCTCTCTGTCTGAAGATCGGGTAATCAAACTACTCTGTCTCAAACAGTACAGAGTTCAAATAAGCTATACAAACATCTAAAATTACTTAAACCAATTTTCTCAATTTTCTCTATATACAAGTTAAGTGATTTCAGGAAGAAATTTCCAAACATGACTAAATATAAACACAAGCTGAAATAGATGATATTACAAATAATTTGTTGTAGAGGCTGAAATTATTTACCTGAATTGTCAGGTTCTTTGAAAACACAAAATCTACTACATTTGTTTTAAAGTTCAAAGTCAAGAAGATGTTTCAAACAACATACATTTTAGAATAGTTATAAATCAGAAAAAAGAAACATCAAATTAAAAACGTTTCTTTTCATAACAACCTTTAAAAATGGTTAATCTTTTGTGTTCATGAAAACAACATGCTACTTTTAACATTTCTGATTTAGAAGAGGTATTTGTTTATTTTTTATCAACAATGGAAGTTTCCCTATACAGAAATTAAGAAATCCCTTACTTGTTTTATAATTGATAGTATCTTAATTTTTAGAAATTTACAGCTATTTTTAAAAATTAATATTTTAAGAAGCTACTAAATATTGTTATGAAATGAATTCTAACTACCATTTGTAGTTATTTCTACACTTATGTGGTTCTAAAGTATTGTTTTGTTCTAGAAAAACAAAAATTTGGAAATGTGTATTGAAAGAGGAAAAAATTTCTACCACACTGTTTTCTGATTTTACATCAAAATTTTCTTTGTCAAATTATGTTTTTCCATATTTTTCAATTCCAGTATTTTTAAGTCTAGTATTTCTTTAAAATCACAGTGAAAAAGAGAATCCACTTTTACTGAAATGCATTTAAAAAGGAAAATTCTAATGTATTATTTGAACTTGAATCAAACTGCAATGAAACTCCTTATAGCTAAAAAGAAATTGTGTTATACGCTGTATACAAACCATTTTCACAAAATGAGGTCTGCGCTGTTTTTCTGGAAATAATGAATAAGCCAGTGGTGTGGAAATGGATAACAAGCAATTACCAGAATGAGTATAAAGCAGTTGATTAAAAGAAGCTGGTAGTGATGGGCAATACCAAGAATTGTGGTGAACAGACTAAGACTCAGAAAGGATGAGACACAGTGTATTGTTTTGCTTTGTGTATTTTATCTGTGTTTCAGGAACAGCTGAGGTTCTGCTGGCAGTTCACAGTTTGATCCTATATAAAGTGTTCTGCAAAACATGAAATTTCCTTTTCAAAGAACAGATGTTCATAAAGCTCTTGGAAAATAGTTTGCTTTTATTATGATGTTGTTGCTGGGGTTTGTTTGTTACCTTGCATCTTCAGTCTCAGCTAAGATGACTTTTTTGGGGCATTTATCCTCAAGAAAACACTTGAACTGATGAGAGACCAGAAATTCTTGTAGTAGAGACACATCAGTCAACTATTCTGAATATGAATATTTAGAACCTGCAACAGCCAGAATTTGTTTAAAATGTTAACATAAATTATTACTTTTTAGAAGTTCCCTTTAGCAATCCCAAATAGGTTTTACAAACAAAAAAGTAGTAATTATACTGCATAGAAGGTTGTTCCTGAAAAGATATTTTAGATATCATGTCTAATACAAAAGTTGGGAAATAATGATTCTCACCTATCATTAGCTGTGTAGCTGTTATAGCTGTGTGAAAACAAACTATAAATATATACTCAATATTTTAAAGCTACTTTTAATGAAGCATAGGCATAATGAGAAAGATTATATAACTGAACACTAAGAATTAATTCCAATGTGAAATATGAAAATATTTTTCATATATAACTTAGTTGAACAAGAACATATAAAAATTCTAACATATTTACAGAAAAATATCATTAATATTCGTGTAATATTTTAACTAATTCAAGTGAAAGAAAGTATTATCTAATCCATGTAAAATGTATGCAGTCACGGCAGAATCGACAGTGATTAAGGCATCTAAGCCAATTACAGTGTGATTTTTTATTTTGTTTTTCTTTCAGTCACAGCTTTTGTTTACAGAAGATAATGTTATGTTTCACAAATTGTATCTTTCTGTTTTTACATTAATAACCTATACTGTGGGGCTATTGTTTTGTAGTTCAAAGAACCACAACATAATGCCAGACGTTTAAGAATACACATATTTCCCCATGTTTGTTTGTGTATGTTTTAGTAATTACCAATCACAGGAGTGGCCAAGAAACATGCCATGTGAAAGGATGCCTACAACTGACACAAGCCTGTTACTTGTCTCTGTATAATCTCTATCCTCCAACGACTGCACCTGGGAGAATCCATTAGCCATGTTTTCCTATCCAGCTCTTAAGGCTAGAGCCAACGAATTTCACTGGCTCTCTTCAGAAAGCTGACTTTTGGGGATTATTATGCAATGGAAGATCAAGGGCAAAATGTATGCCTACTGTCAAG